TATTCACTTATTATAATTAGTCGCTCTTTACCATTCAAATTGCAGATTATAGTATCAAGACTAACGATTTAGAGGCGGTGACATCAACTAAATGTGGAAGTCATGAATGACGTGAGTCTAAACTTACATACCTCAAAATTGAAATACATAGCAAATGTTAGTAAGTAAAGCATATAACAAGCAATACATTCTTATTAGATGCTATTTCACTAACCGATAGGACGCTAATATGTGTACCTACACGAGTTACAATAGACTAGACGTTTGCGAAAAGGCAAATTTGTGATTTCATAAGGCGCCCTATATTTCGACACATTTCACTACTTATTGTCTAGTTGCTGGTCCACATGTTTTGGTGTTCAAATACCAAGGCCAAAAAATACCATATTTTGACACGTTGTGGCTATTAGTAATGACTAGATAACAAACGAATGTCAAAAGGACGTCAAAAGGAGGTATAAGGACCCTTTGTGTGACCACACACACTACAATTGACCAGACGTCTGCGAAAATGAGAATTTCTGATTTTGTAACGCGCATCCTTAATGTGCACTTTTCCGCGTATCTTCATTTTCACTGTTCACGCAATTAGTTGCACAAATAGACGTAGCAGATGTAATCTAAGTGAGCTTACGTACTAAGCAGTTTGGAAAACGCCTTTGAGTTGATGCAATTTTAGGATTTTGCATAGTTTCATTTCAAAAGTTTCATTTCATCAGTTTGGAAAACGCCTTTGAGTAGATGCAATTTTAGGATTTTGCAAAGTTTCATTTCATTTGTTTGTTACTTCGTATCGTATTGCTTTGTTTATTACTTCATATTGCTTTGTTAGTCACCTTCCTCCTACTAATAGTGTATGAGTATCACTATTTGTTCGCACTAGGTTGGTTACAAGTAGCAGTAGTGATCCACCTAAATGATCATAGTAAGCAAACTACAGATCATCATTCCTCATAATCTAAAGAGCTATGTTTTACCTTAAAGGCTTCATAGTTTCAGTGTACATTAGTATAAGTATTACTTGGTAACATCGTAACCTATTTTATGATAGCATATCCTTTTAAATCTGGGC